TAGCTTTCGCGCGAACGAGAACCATGCATCCGGCAATCCCAAACGATATATTCGGATTATCACCATCGTCCAAGAATCAGAAATGGTGTGGCCCAGAAATTCCTGCATCACACGTTGACGTGGGAATCACGCGAGCAAGAATACGCTGAAGAAAGAATAATACGCTCGGAGTGAGAAGTTCTCTCATATGAGAGTGAATCAGAGTGGCTGAGAGTAATACGGCAACTTCAAGAAACACTGAAGTTTATCATATTGGACGAATGAGAGCATTTAAATGGGTCTGGATTCAATCTGTTAAAATGAAAAGATTCTGAAGCAGAAGAGAGTTGAAGTGATTGCTGCAGCAATTCAAAAGTCATTCTTTTATTCTTCTCCTTTAGGCCTTCTTTAAGAATTGAGACACGAGCCTTGCATTTCAGGTGATTTGTATTATTAAAGAGAGTGAGACTGTGTTTTTTCCCAGCCTAATCCCACCATATAATTGACCGGAAGGCTACCTTTCGTGCAGTGCCGCATAATTACTCTGCGGCAGGACACGTAGGCATTGCTTCATTCCCCCAAATGCGAATTGTGACAGAGCTTCATTTTATCAGCCACTGAGCCTGTCTTCACTAATTTCCTCGGCGGGTTGGCATAGATCACGTTTACACTTGAAGCATGCTAATGGCGAAGAATTTCATGAATTCCCACTTCACGACTGTCGACTACTAATAGATGTCCTACCACGCGAAAATTTGACACCACTGCTTGAAAGCCAACGCCTCTGTCGTTTGGGCCATGAGATTGCGCTTAGGAAAAAGTCTGAAAGGTTACACCTACCACCTGCCAAAGGTGTACCAAAGGTACACCCACCGCTGTACTGCTATCGATACTGTACTGATATTACAGATCGCACCTTCCTCGTGTCTCGAATCTTGAAGTATAGGAGAAGAAGAAGCATAAGTGACTCCGTGGCGGAAAATGTTAGGTGTTGGTGGAGGTCTATTTCGTCCTTTTCTCTCACCTTTTCATCGAAGCCTTCTACGAGAACTGAGTATCAGGTCTCGTCGCAATGGAGGAGCTGTCCAACATCGTCCTACGAGTTATTTATTTCCTTGTCTATGTGATCCGACTTTAGGACACGAGTCTGGATTTGGATCTGGATCTGGATCTAGATCCAAATGAGAAATGTCTTTGTTGACAAGAGGGTTTTTCCAATTATTTTTCGCTGATTCATCCTGAGAATGTGAGATGGAAAAATAACCAGCTCCTGGGAAACTAATGATAATTCCCCACCCCTGGACATAGTGACATTGGAGGGCTAGAGATAATGGGGGTTATGCATTTAGACTTGGTTGGACCAATCTAAAAATATCTGAGCATCACTCTTGCTTTCCCTGCTGCTAGCAAACAATATGTGAACGCAATACATTGCTCATTTGAGCAGTAAAGAAAGTGAGACCGGAAGAATTTTGTCTCCTTTTATCCCACCTTACCCTATACGAGGGTTGTTCTTAGATCATTTGGATACAATATATCGCAGCCATACTTCACATGTCCAAGTCCAGGTGAACCTGCACTTTTTCAACATTATCCTCTTTACTACAATGCATTTTCCCCAGCGTAACCACGGGTCTTGTCCGCCTTCTTCCGATACGCGTCAAAGTTCCTGCGCGACTGCTTCGAGCTTCATATTGGTGCCGAATCGGTATCCTTTCAGCCTGCTCTTCGGCTCGGGAAAGAACCAATAGTCAGAAGAGACCATTCGAGGGGAACGAGTAGGATGTGGGAGGCATGGGCGCAACCAAGGGGGTCTGAACCCCAACCCCTGCTAATGATGGTATCTCTCTACTTCTCCATTCCCCTGTCCCCCATGGTGGGGGATGCAGAAAGATATCATGAGCCTAATGACCTGAGAGCGAGGCTGGAAAGGCAAAAAGATAGGAGGTGAAAGGTGAAGGTCACGCCAGTCACATGTAGCTACTCACTTTAGTAAAGTGAACCCGTCAAGGAAACGTCCTGCACATGTGACAATATTGGAAATTTTCTGAAAACGGAAGGGTGACGATTCAAATAAAAGACATGAATCTTGTACAGGTTAACGACTTTCCAGTTGCATATCTGTGCAGTGATATTTGGGCTGAACCCCGAAATTAATTTAGTTCATTTTAAGCTTCTTTCAGATATTGAATGTGCTTTTATCATTTAGAGTTCAAATTCCGTTTCCACCATTTCATAACATTTTTCTTCGTTTCATTTCCTTTGTTCGCGTGTCCGCGCCGTTTCGCATTTTTTTGTTGAGTATATCTCTCATGATGATTTGATAACGCCTTCTTGCATTCGAAGACTTTAGGAAGACATGAGAACTCCAAACCCCCCCCCCCCCCCCCCCCCCCAAATAAATTTTTAAAGATCTTCAGGGCTGGTTGCGCTACTGGTGGGAGGGTCTCAGCACCAACATCTATTGAGTCTTGCAATACGCCAGCGATGCATGGGCGAGCATCTGTCGCCGTGTAGGAACCATGTCGAGAGAGAGAGAGAGAGAGAGAGTTTAGGCCTTTTTGCCACGTAGTCAGTACTCGACGCGATTTTTTTTTGCGAATGTCTATATACTTGTGATTCCCGGTTTCATGAAATCTGTTGGCAAGATGCCCCTACCCAGTCAAAAATTTTCGTTGGTTTATCTTCGGGCCATTGCTGGGGGAGTTGGCCCATTTTCGACGAATGATTGGCAGGCCAACTCACACTTGTGTCACTTGTGAGTTGGCCGGCCAATCATTCGCCGAAGATAGGCCAATGTGGCTGAGAAGGTTCCGAAAACCGGCACGAGATGGAGCCAAAGTGGTCGTAGTGGGGAGTCACTTCCCGATACTACTGAGATGAGTCCCCTATCCCTTTGACACGGTTCCCCATGACCCCTCACATAGATCTCAGAGGAAGACAATCGAATTCCTTTAAATATTTCTCTGAAGACGTAACCTAGCTCTGGAATAAACCAGGAACTTCCGGCCCGGATGTCCGTGGGAGGATCCTTCTCCTTTCCACAATCGTCCACGCGACTATATTTTCTCGTTCGACGAGGTTTGGCATCAGGGCCTGCTCTACAAGCTCCAGTCCTCAGGTGGATACAATCCTATCTTACAGGTTCGCACGTTACAGTTTCGAGTCAACAACCAGCTGTCTAGTTCTTACACCACTACAGCTACTTGGCACCGCTGCTTATTTTTGCGGTTGTCAACGACTTACCTCGACACATATCATCATATGCACATTCAGCCAATATGCAGATGATACAGCCATATGGCTCACGAGAAGAAATGAAGTCAAGCTAGAAAAGGACGGCCAACTTGTCCTCGATGCTCTTTCATCCTACTGTAAGGATTGGAGGATTTCCATGAATCCTTCCAAATCCTCATACCTTTACGTGCCTAGAAGCCTATCCCGAGACACCTACAACTTTAGGCTTTGGATGAATCCCCGCTGCTTCCACCTGCAAATTTTTAGGTATCACTTTCCACAAACACCTCTGTTGGTCCCCCCACGTGCAAATGCTACGTCAAAAGGCAGTTCGTAAATTGAATTGCCTTAAGTTGCTCTCGCGTGTCAACGGTTGTGAGCCCGACGTCATCATGCGCCTGTATAAGGTTTACATCCATCCTGCTTTAACGTATGGATTTGCGGCCTGAGCCAAAGTCCCCGATTCCATCTTGGACACACTTGCACGCATCGAACGAGCTGCGATTAAGTTCGCGTACAGAATCCCACGCCACTACCCCTCTGATTACATCTATAGAGTCAGTGGCCTTACACCTCTTAACGTGTACGCCTCAGACCTAGCTCTCTCCTTCTATGAGAAGGACACTTGCCCTGAGGACGTACACGAATACCTGACAACATACGACAGAAAACACAAAGGACGACGACGAGCGTTCAGAGCTGAATATCCCATCTTCAGCATACGCCGTCGAATCGCCAGTCGGGAAGATTATATCGCTAACACACTCGATGATCTCCCAAATGACTCAACTACTCAGCCAAGCTCCCCCCAACCCTCACCTATCCTTTGACCATTTCTTTGTTCCCCTGGCCGCCTTTTAGGTCATTTCCAATCCCTCACTCTTCAACTCATCAAGCCCTCTAGATACCCCATAAAGGGGACTTTGATCTTACCCACCCCTTCTTACATCTATGCAGCCACAACTGTCCTAATCGCTTCCATCCCCCACCAATTAAGGCAGCTCAGCGTCGATCGTAGGGTCTCTCTCTTTAGCTAGTCTGCCTCATTAAGCAGCTGTCCTCTCTATCTGTCGGGACGAGCAGAGAGCCTGATCGTGTTTTCTTAACAGCTGGCACCTGTCGATCCCAAGTAGCTCACGGGGCACCATATAGGTACCTAAAACTTATATAAATGCTATTATTAAATGGATAGGATGTAATCATCTTTAAAAGTGGGTCTAAAATAGCCCCAACGTGTTTTCATTCTTTAAAAGTTAAACGAATAGATCTAATATTTTCTAGGCTGCTATTGCAACTGTCCTACAGTAATCTGTAAAACAGACGGGAGAAACCTCGGTCTCCGACCGGGACAAAGGGGACCATTCCCATCGTCTAAATCAGCTTCGAGGGGTCTTGCACCTGCCAGCCCGCTCGCAGGAGGGTTTCACAGGGACTGGTGGGACCCCTCATGTACCCACCATCAGGGAGAGGGGCCAGTCCCCCATTAGCTCCTATTCTTTCAAAAACAAAAAAAGAGAATAAACCTTATTACGCATTCGTTTCGGCAGCGAGAGTCAGACCCGTGTCGGGCCGACATGGTTTTCTATACAAGGAATTAATATTCGCCGGCATATTTTTTTAAATGCAGAATAATTTATTCCAGCTCTCGACGATGGGACAGACCTTTGACCGAAATACAGCGTAAAATCCTTCGTTAGGAATCGAGTGACATAAGGCCACGAGGGGTCATTCGTTTTACAAATATACACGCTTTCAATTTTTATTTTGCCAAAAAGTGCCGATCGGTCCTGGGAAATTCGCGGAGGACATCATGGAACGAGACTTACCAGAGGAAGGACGAACTTGGACTAGAGATGAGATTCAGCCGTCGCGTGATCACTCGTCGTCGAACCAGACCTTCGTGGCGATCCACTTGCAAGGGTGATCCAGCGGGGCCTTCACCGCCTCGAAAGACACTCGGTACCCTGTACGAGCAGAGAACGCTTTCTGATAATAATAATAATAATTCACTCGAGAGGCGAAGCATTCTTGCTTCCTGTTGGACCCTAGGACTGAATTATGTATCCTGAACCCCGAGCCGATCCCGTTTGAAGGTCCCAACAGCATCAGTTGACAGTTGTTCAAGTTTTCGCAACACACAACAAAAACACCCTGGGAATAATAAAAAAAAAATAACCTGCTAAATCAATCACCTAGGATCGACATAGATACATGGAAGGAACAAGAGGGGAACTAAATCAAGAAACTGACTTCTATCCCGAAGAGTCGTTCGTTACGTGTATGAAGCACCTAAATTCAGAAAAACCAGTCTGCTTTTTATTTCAAAAGGACAGTCTTTTGCTTGAGAGAAGGCCCACTGCAGAGAGAGGGATTTATGCAAAGAAATTATAATATTAATCTGAAATGAAATCGAAGTTAAAAGCGAAGTATAGACAGCAGTGACAACGCCAGAGAAGACCCAGACGACCCAAAGAGACCGACCGGGTCGGAAGACCTCGGCCAGGTTCTTCCCCGCGAGACGCTGATCGAAGAGGAAGGCGTCCCGGCGCCGGAAGAGCACGGTCTCGTACAGCCGCTCCGTCAGCTGGAACAGCAGGATCCCCAGCTCCGAGTTCGCCGCCTGGACGATCCCGTAACCCTGAGTCCCGAAAAAAATCTCGTTTAGAATGCGTGAGAGATATCGCAAGTCGACGGAATGTCCCGCGGAGGTGAATGCATCCATGTTTTACTGATGATTTTTCCATGCATGGATAATGCAAAGATGACTTTTTTTGCTAGTCCAAACCGACAAAATAATTCCAACGAATGATTGCATAAGCGATAGGAATATGAAGAGAACCACAAGAATGTGTACAAATACTGAACAGTGCTTGGAATTCCGATGAGATGGCACAAATATGAAACATGTTTTGAAAGGTAAATATAAATTTAGGTCTATAATACAGTATATTGGGACTAGATATAATCTAAATACGTAGTACAATCAATATTAGGATTAGATAGGATGCAACTTGGATTCAGTATTATATTTGGGAGCAGACTCTAATGCACTATACAAAGCAAAAGAACAATCTTTTAGGTAAGGAAGACAGGATGTAAGCAGAAACGAGTAAGAACCTCGGCAGGTCGACTGCCCCATTTGTTGCTGGAGAAAAGGAAGCTGAGGGAAGTTGTGGTGCGATCGGGTCGAAGCTCATCGGAATCGGATTCCGACTCGCTCTCGTCGGCACCCCGACGGTTTGGATCCTGAATGAGGATCTTGGTCTCGGGCGCCACGAACGACAGGGGACGCTTCCCCTTCCACACGAGCTTGGCGAACCAGGTGCAGCTCTCGTCCTCCATGTTCTGCATGCCCTCGAGCATGGGCGAGGCATCGAACTGGACTATGTCTCCCTCGTGCAGGAAACCCGAGAGATGCTGCTTAGTCGGCAGCCGCTTCCCGTAGAGGTAGACCTTGGAAGCGAGGAAGAACACCCGCTCGCTTCCGGCGATGGTTTCGAAGGTGATGACACCCTTGCGGGGGGCCAGCTCGGCCACCATCCCCGTCATGCTCTGCAGCTCGGTCTTTCTTGCTGGCAATAACCCGCTGTCCTCCAGCGTCAGGTAACCCAAGTTACCTGGGATGAAAATACATCATTTACACGTGCTTGCTCAAATTTGTTGACCAATCTTTTCTTTGCAATTTCTTCATGGACTTGAAAAATCTCAACGTCACAGTTGAATGAAATGAATTGAGATTTGGCATGTTTTGTAATTCCAGGAATTAATCATGCCATGATAACATAGTTTCAATGGACAGGCCGTCATTACTCGAGAGAAACATGAAGATAAATATGATTCGGCATCAAAAAATATTTCCTAAAATACCCCTAATTGAAAAATGTTTTTCCACGGGGAGGGGAGAGGGGGGAATTACTGCTGCATTTTTGCTGGGTCTCAGGCCTTCGATTATTGAGCAAATGATCACCATGAAGAGTTTTGCAACATTATCACTGGATTAAACAAAAAGAGATAGAAAACAACAGAATCTCGGAAGGAAAAATGGGTTTCCAGGGGCCCATTCCACAGAAGATTTACAAGCTACAAGTTACAAGTCTATTACTTGTAGAATCAAGTTTGTGGATTTCAAACTAGACACGATTAAATTCACCATCATGGACACACAAGCTCATATTTCACAGTTCAATCAGCTGAATGAAATATCCTGTCTTATTACCCCAATGAGGAACCGCATAGTTGCTTCAAAACTGCGAGAATGTAGATCATGGCAATAAGTATTTTTCTCTCCGCAATAGCTTCAACATCACTATCTATTTCAGCTATTGTCGCAATATTGCAATGTCGTCTATGTCAATCGATTGCTTCTCGATATTAAAATGATGGCTGAAGAGAATGATAACTACCAGCATGACAGTACATCCTCTCACAGACCTGCAGCAACTGTTCAACGAGTCAGTACGAAGACATGATAGATTTCATTGAGTTGAACATGTGGCGCCTGCCTTGCATTGCTCAGACCTTAATCTGGTAGATTATGCAGTCTGGGGAGATAGAAAATTCATCAGCATTGCACGATCAGGGACCTTGAACACCTCAAGGCCACCATGAATGGGGAAAAATCCAGATAGTTTTTTGTGGAATAAATTTTGGAATGACTTCCACATTTGCAGGGTATGAAGGACACATTGAGCAACCTTTCCATTGATTGAACATGGATGTGAGTTTCCATGGCCGTGCTAAATGACTTGAACTCCGTTTTTTTATGCTCAATGAATTAATACAAATTCAATGTCTCCTTTTCCTGGCCCACCCTCAACAGATAAGTGGAAATTCAACTTGAACAAGCCCAAGATGGGTAGAGAAATTGCCTCTGAAAGAAAATTAAAGCTAGATATGTTCTCCCTGTGAGAGGGACTCACCGGTGATGGAGGCAGCGGAAGGCCGGTCCCCATACCAGGCCTTCATGACATACCAGCCGCAGTGGTCAGGGCCCTCTTCATCTAGGCGGTGGCAGTCGAATCCGATCTCGTCGCCGATATTTACGTAAGGAGTGATAGAGGTGAATTCGGGTAAATATGATTCATTCACGATAAGCTTGTTGGAGAAGAGGAGGGCTCGCTCCCCAACCATGTCATTATATGGCTGGAACATCAGGATTGCCTTGCATGGGACTATGATATCTGTCACCAGACCCACCATGTTGTATAGGTACCTCGTGTCTGGTAACATTGCTGTCATCTCTCTCGGTTCTTCTTGGATCCAACACTTAACACTACTCTGCAACCTGATGAGAGGTGCATTTACATGTTCTAATATCTGTCAATATATGCATTTTCATGCTCTTTTCAATCACCGACATTTCTTAGATAAAATTAAAGCCAAGGAAACTGATGATTCCTCAGATCGTGCACTAATTCATGCACAACATTTTATCATACTGGTCTTGTCACTTCTGAACTCTTACGTGTTTTGTAGACAAAAAAATTCAGCAAAAGGAGTGATGGTGAAAATATAGATGCACCTCATAGGGCAAGTGGAAATCACTTGCAGGAGAAGGGATTCATAGACCTTCCTGACCTTGGTGCCTTTTGGCTTCACTTCATCTCACTTCCATACAGTGGCATTCTGAAAGGTCACAATGCACTTGAGGGTGCCCCATTACAAAGTGGACATGTGAAATGTAGTGTCCCCTGCAAACTGATGCGTTACCTTGCTCCTCAGACTAGCAAATGTCAATGAAACAAAACTGATTAACAAACTCCAAAACGTTAAGCATTCTACAAGATTTAAAGATGAATCAGCCACATCAAGTGCTTGGTAAACGTTTCTCCTGATGGTCCATCTTCACTTCATTCCCTACCTTGCAGCTTGTTTGATATTTTATTGAAAAATATGATATAATGCTATATATTTGTAGCAAAGCTATTCTATTTTCAAAATATCTTACTTAAATATTGATGAATGTGATGCATTTCAGTTCAAATCTTAATTCTTTCAATTTTCAAGCAGTCTTTTCCAAGATCCATTGTGCAATGAGACACCCACTGCCAATAGCACTCAAGGAAGAAAAATCGACATGCAGGAGAAGTCTCTTTATGCTGATAAATAGATTGTGATGGGTACAGCTGTCATTTGAACTGTTGCGAAGAGAGGAAGGAGTAGCCTTGTTTGGAGGCAGCACGAGACGGAGCAAAGCCAAGGAGCTTCTGGATGTTCTGTCGCACAAACATGGTGCAGAGGATGTACAGGAATAGGAATGAACAATCAGTAGGATCCTGACCCATGAGATTGCGGTGGGAGATGCCCTGGAGCCAGGAAATTGGCACAAATGGGAGCTTTGCCACCACACGCCCTTCAAAGATGGAGTTGAACGTGGAGAGTAGAGCTGTGAATACAAAACCTATCGCCATCATGGACTTCATCTTAACGAACTGAAGGTCCCGGCTGTTGGCTTTCAGCCGCTCCTCCTCCCGTTCCATCTTCTTCTTTACCTGTCGATCCACCATCTACAAGAAACAGAACAATGGTGGGAGAATGCAAAAATATTTTTACAAGGAAGTAGGCTCATGAAATGATACAAGAGAGTGAGAGATCAAACATATAAGCCAAAATATGCCTTAAGCAAACTTTTAATCCCCACTATATAGTACTACATACACAGTATAAAATGGTGCAATTAGGGCTTTGTAGCAAATGAAATAACAGGTTCTGGCTATAATTCCTATAATGTAATTTTCACCAACCGGCAGGTTTTAGGATGCGTAGTGAGACACACAACAAATTTTTGGGGATGCTGGTGAAGAGTTCAATACATGCCTCTACTGCCATTTTCATGACTGTAAGGTAACCCTCATCACCTGGGAAATATGATAGCATCCTTGTATCCAAAGAAATGGAAATTTTGAAACAACAACATTTAATGAAAATGCACCCCTAAAACAAATGGATGTTTGAATTCATCACAAGTGTTACAATGGTAACATTACTCTTTTGAAACATTGGGTGTTCTGAGTGAGACTTATCACCAGAGCATTTGTATTGCAGAAGTTGTGACACAAGATAGTACATAGGGAAATGCCACTGGGTCACATACAAAATTGAACGTTTTTAAACAGTGCAACTGATGTAACAAATATATAACATCATCAATTAGAGCATTATTATGAACTGCAGATCCAGGAAAGAGAGCAAGACACTATACCATCACAGTCTATAAGGTAAGAATCCTTGGTATAGTATATCTAAGTGGATTGAGCAGGTGTTAATCAATGAAAAATTTAAAGTGCAGGAATTTATTGCTTTAAAATTACTTTTTTGTTGCAACTGAAAATTATAGCAGCATTTGATGTAGCTGTGCCTGCTTAGAAGTAATCAAATTCTAGTTAAATTAGATAGTAGATAGTGAGGTGTTCAGACTTTACAGAAACATTTAGATGGAGGGATTTTAGAAATAATATTTTAAGTTGCTTTGTCCTTATTACTCTGGGACTATCCTCAAGTACAAATGTTGAAGCAATGCATTTGAAAACTTTTTTTTTTTCACTATCTCTGAAGTACATGAAACCCCCAAAAAGCTTGAAAATATTAGTCTTCTTCTTGCCTATCAGACTGCTATTAGAGGAATTCACACCCAAGATTTGGTTCTTTCCTTTTGTCAGCTTAACTTCAGGATTCTTATTCTTGCTTTGCAAGCAAGTACTACTATTTTTTAGATAGGTAGATAGGTAGATTTTTGCAGAATACAATCACTGATGCCCTAAAAATGAGTCTTAGCTCCCCAGTGTGATTGCACTCTAGATTGGTACTTATAACACAATAAAAAAAAATAGATCAATGACAAAGACACAGCAAAACCAAGTTGATGAGTCAAAAGACAGTGAAAGAAAAAAGGCTTACTTCGCCATGGGCCTCTCGCTTTCTTTCAAGGCGTTTGCTCTGCCGATCCACCTCAGCTTTGAGCTTTTGATACTTCTCAGTGCGATAGACAAGACCCCATGTGAGCAGCTCACCAAGGAGAGCTGTCCCAATTGAAATGAGCAGGACAAGGACACTGTCCACCCACATTCCAATAAATGCCTTCCCACAGGAACTTCCTCTCACTCCATCATCCAACTACCTTGCACTCTGAAACTGAGCAAGATTGAGCATTAGGAAATTGTTGCATGAACTACACTGACCAAATTCAAAATATAAGCTTTGGCACTGAAACACTTCTTAAATTGCATGAAATCATAATTTGAAGTCTCCCCAAACAGCCTGCATGAACATGCTGTTGAAACTCTGTGTGCCAGGGAGAAGGAACTTCATGCCATCACTTGAAGTTAAGTGTTTTCCATATATCACAATGAAGTGATCACATCTGATACATTGCAGACATGATTTTGATTTTTTTCTGGCAATTTTTTCATCAAACTTCATTTAAATGTGAGTATCCTAACAGGATTCAAAAATGAAAAGGGAAGGGTTCAACAACAAATATTTTTTCATATACATTCATGGTAACTTTCACACAATTTGAAGCATGAAAAATTTATTGAAATAATTGTCTGACATACTTATATGAATGTATATTAAAAAAATTAAAATTTGAGATCAGATCTACTTGTTCCATAGCAGTTAGTTACACTTTGCAAAAAAAGAAACAAATACTCTGCAGTACATTTAGGCATGATACTTGTTGTACTTAGGGGATAAACTCATAAATTTCATCACTGCACCAAATCACACATTTAAAGTGTCTCTTAGAAGTTTGGAGACTTCCATATAAATTCAGGATGTTGCACTGTACATTTCTGGTGTAGTTCCAGCAGCTGTCGACTTTCGTTTGGGGCTGAGAATAGACTCAAGTAATCTTACTGATGCCCCAGGCTTGCTCACATGTGACTTGATATGATGGATGACCTCTAACTGGGTATCAAAAGCCAGGCGACAAATTGAACATGCAAATCGTGGGTCTTCAACAGGACATAATTCTTCCTTTGCCTTTTCTAGTTTATCCTTCAAATCAACTGGCCCCTTCTTGATTTTTTTGATTATCCCAATGACAGACTGGGTGAGGCTGGTCATGCGTTTCTCTTCTTGAGTTTTTCTCTTTCGGTCCCCAGATGGAAAACTTAAGCTTTTATCAGTAAATATCTCTGCATTCATATCCTGCTGACTTAGATCAGCAGTAGTGTCATTCACAGCCACAGGAAGATCAATGCTGACATTCTGGGCAAGTTGACTGTCACTGTCACTGTGAGGAGGTGAAGAATTTGGTGATGGGGTAGAATAATTTGATGAATTCAAATTTACTTTCCGTTCCTGAGTAAAAATGGCATATTCTTGAGCGAATTCATTGGGGGAAGCTTTGCAGATCACAGAAGGACGTGTCACCACTTGGGGAATTCTTGCATCTGTGTCAGTGAGCTGCCTGAGGTGGTGTTCCATGGCAGCTGCACATGTGAAGACAAGGGAACAATGTAGGCACATGCTAGGGGCAACATGCAATTCATACTGATTTTCATTCAACAGCTTTCCACAATCCTTGCACACAAAACCATGATCTAGCTGCATTTTATGTTGTAACATTTGCTCTGGAGAAGTGGAAGTTGTAGGTTTTTGTGATTGGGTGTTATTGTGGAAGGCATTAGGGAGGTATGTTGCTGAATCCTCTTGTTCCCCTGATTCATCAAAACAAATATTCCACATTTGATTTTCACTTTCTGAAATAGATCCTGGAAGGATTGCTTCACAAGAACTGTCAACATTTATACCAGCTCCCTCATCATCATTTTCCCCTACTTCCTCTTCATCTCTGGGAGGATATGGTTCATCATTCTTTGCAATAGTCTTTTTTCCATTCCTCGCATTTTCAACAATATCCTCAACAGACTGCTCAGAATGACAGACTCTGGCAAGGACTCTATCAACCACATCCTGTGTATGTGACTGAATGTCTGCATTGTGGGGATTTTCTGCATTGCAGCAGATCTGGAGATGCTCTGGCATCGCCTCTCTCTTCACAAATGTCTGACACCAAGGGCAAATCAATGCTTTCCTCTTGATAAGACAATGAGTCTTGAGATGCTGAAGGAAAAGGTGATATGATTCAATGATGGCACCACATGTGTTGCACTCAAACAACGGATGTGACTCATGACGTGCGGCATGTCCACTTGCCTCACCAGGCTGCATGACCTTACCACAGATGTTGCAGCTGCCCAACTCCAATTCACTTTCAGACAGATCTGTTGAGGTTGATGTCCCTGTATCTTCCATAACATCAGGATCTGTATAAGCACTGGTGGTGCTCAGACTCTCCTAGACAGAAGTCCTTTCTTTCATCATTTACTGACCATAAATTTCATTAGCTAGTGGCCTATCTCCCAAAGCATCAGGCCAATCATACAATGTCAGCACCTGAAAAAATGAATTCCATCAGGCTTTCCATAGCACAGACTAAATTTATTTTTTACTGATAACAATCTTAGCAGGGTTATTGATTATCTCGAGCCCAAAAATTAAAAGTATTACTTTCTTCATGACAAAAAAACAGACCAGCAGCAAATGTTATCAGGAGATTCCCATCTTAAGGTCTAAAATACATTTAAATTTTCAGATCAAGGCCTGGTTAGGTCTTTCTAAAGACCAGGGCAGCCTTGTTAGACTACTTCAGGTATCATTCATTTCTTGGGTTAAGAACCCTAAAAAAGTTATATGGACATGCAGGCCTTTTACCTCATTACTATGCTTTTAAATATAGACAAAATTGTCTGCTCCATTTTTTAAACATCCATCTGACAAGAAAAGTAATAGTTATATAAAAGTAATAGTAATAGTAATAATAAGTTGGTAGTAGACTACAGGCTATAGAATAAGAGAAATAAAACAGACGATTTGGGAAAGAAATTCTGGAATTCAATATTCTAAACAAGAACCTATTCTTGACAGAATGACTGAGGCAATAGATATCTCTGTAAAACTAGATTTTCTCTCAAAGGGACATGCAACAAAACTAAATCACACAATGTCCACCAGCAGCACAGCTAATCAACAGTCAAAAGGTAGAACAAAAACTCCACCAGAATTGACAATAACAACTTCATAAAAAGCCCAAAGAAATGCCCCTTTAACACAGACAGGAAATTCAGACCAGTAATCAAGCAATCACATAAAGGTCTTCACATTGCAAAAAAAAATACTGTATATCATGGCATCCATATGGTATTAATTACAGCTGCATGATATATCGATGTAACCATGTTAACTACCTTCATCGTTGCACATGAGATTGCAAACCTTCTTTCTTATATGTCCACATTACTGTAGTCAGATCCACAAACAAAAATGGAAAACAAATAAGCAAACTTTCCCTGTGCTGTACTGACAGGCTTTCCCTCCCTCTGAATCAATATGGGAAAGAGTGCTACATGAGGTCAATGGTACTCCTGCTCCATGGACTTGAGGAGATATTAGTGGAGAAATTTCATGCAGCCCAAATAATACTTTGGATGCCATACAGCACCAGCTCAAGCACATATGTATGTAAAGGCACCAAGATATGGTTTTACTTTTTTCAATGGTGGGTGAAGTCACACTTTGAACACATCTGATTCCTTCAAAAGATCTAAAAAAAAAAGTAAAAGGATATATATCATAACAGTTATCACATGCCAATATAGGAAATGCTAACACTGAATATCTTCCTCTCATCTGTACATTGGGGAAGAAAAGCTTGCATCACAATAAGGAAATGATCACATTGTTGAAGCCACTATCAATCAAGTGTAGCCTTAAGTAGGGCTAGGCTTAATTAGGTACAGTAACAGGGTTTCCAGGAATGGAAGACCTCATCAAGCTTACAGGAAAAATGCATAAAATCACTATAATACTGCAGCAAAATGCAAAATGAAATGCTAATGTAATATGACTGAACTTCAAACCAGCATCTAATAAGCAGCATCTGATAAACTGAGTTCAATTGTGATTGGTGATGAAATTGCGGTTAGTAACACGTTCATATGCCTTCTGTAACATATGGACTGGATATTGCATGAAGGCCTCCTTATCCAATTCACTCTTAGGCTGAGTACATGTGTGCTCTGTTAACTCTTGCTCAGTCTTGAACTCAAGTGGACATTCAGCACAGAAATATTTGATATCATGCTGAAGACATTCCTCATTTGTACTGGCAGGTTTCTCCTCTGGTAAAGCTGAGGCGGGAGACATTGATGGGGACGATTGTAGAAATACCTCATCCTCCAAAACAGTTATTGACTCTGAACGGCCTTGAGAATACCACTCAGAATCAGCACTTGTGGTAGATAACTGGTCTTGAGATGACACAGTCATGCAAGAAACAGTGGCATCTTGTGATGGTGATTCTTCTGCATTTTGGTAAGATCCATCTTGCATTTCAGTGAAAGCAGTATGGCATAGATTAGGCCTAATGTGAACCTGAGCTGAGATCAGAGGTGGTGGCCCACGATCGTTTCTTGTAGCAGATGCCAAAGGTCCTCTGTTGCCATAGTAGATGTCACCAGTTGGTGGAAGGAAAGAGGTGGAGTCCATCTGAGATGGATGTGGATGTGACTGTTGGACTGGAAGGAAAGAATTAAAAATGGAAGCATCCAAACCATTCCTGACAATTGGAGGAATGCCACTGCCTGGAGTGGTTGAATTGCCCATACACAATGGTAATGCATAGAGAATCATTGGACCACAAGAATGTGAACAAGGCTTATTTAACACCCTGAAGCTATTTGCAGTAGACTGATCCTGAGGATCTACAACATTATTTTCCAGGCTAGACACAGCAGAATCATGAATGTTAGGTTGAGGATGGTCATCTTCCATTTCATTCAGAAGGCATGAAAGTTGATATTCAGATGGGTCTGTCTCTCGCAATGTGGACCTATATCCATGATGCTTTTTCTTATGATAAGTGAGTCTGGAGCGCATCATCTGCTCACCACACTGGTCACATTTCACCCTCTCATGCACCCTGCTATGTTGCTTCAATGCCTTAAAGGATTTTAGGCATACTGGACACTTTTCCATTTTAAAATTGCCAGTTGATCTCTGGCCTTCTCGCAAATATAAATCTATACCCAAGGAAAATCAAAAAACCAAACATACATTAATTCACTCA